TTAACATTTTCAGCAAAGAGACAAATAGACATCTAAAAAGGGGAGGGCTGGTGTCGGGCGGCGCATCGGTTAAAAAATGTGTTTAGCATTCTCCTCTTCAAAGATGGGAAGAACTTCTTTCACAACGGATCTGTCAGAGAGATGATGGATCTTTCAATTTTCATAAAGAATGCATGCCACCGGAGCAGAGGATTTAAATTATCCTATAAAAGCTGCATGCTTTCGATTTTTATACACTTAAAGGACAAACACCTCTGTCTGTCTCCGTGATAATTTCCACCACATGTTACACTCCAGTGGTTTGCATGGAAGGCAATTATGTTACCTCATCAAATCAGAAGTGTATTCTTATCATGGTTTCTCCTACATTATGTGAGGCATTTTGACAAAGAAGTTTCACCCATCTGAATCATTGCAAAGTGCTTTCATCCTATTCCGATATAATAAATAAGTTTTGTTTACTGATGTGAATTAGCGTGAAATGTATCCAATCGTCATGGCTCTTTGAATGTAAAGCATATTGTATGGTTTTTTCTTTATGGATTTGTGTGTTTGCAACTCAGCGCGGCCTTCCTGAACGAGTGTGTGTTTTTATGTTTGCTTCTCTTTGTTTCTGCACTCTTTATGCATCTGCTTTATGTTGTGTGCGTGCACATGCTAAGTGCGGAGCAAGGTATTTAACAAAGACAAGATGTTTGCTTTATTATCAACATTAACTATGTAAACACAAAAAGCTTCAAAGTTTCATTCAATGACACTGAAGGGCTGTGGGTGGCTACATCAAAGCTTTATACCTTTCTCCCCCCCCCCCCTTTTTTTAATGAGAAACAGGACTCAACAGCCTTGACTGAACCTGCCATCTGTGTGTGTTTCAGGTTTTTTCCCCTTGTTTGCATTTTTTGTACATATGCTTGTGTGAATGTGGGAAAAGGTATGTTTCTGGGTGCACGTCTTAAGTGGCACCGCAACGGCAGACAACATGTTTATGGAGGCTATTCTTTATTGTAGATAAAATAGGTGTAAAGATACCTGCATCTCACGAAAATGGCTTTAGATTCAAGAGATTGTCTTTTGTGATAAAGATGAATAACTGATTAGTGCCCCCTAAATGTCTCGAGGCATGACAGAGAGTTTCATGAGTTGCTCATTTCCTTCCGGGACCGATGTGAAAATCCTTGATACGACCACAACAAAGACTCTCCATGTGCGTTGCGCCGCCGTCTCACCTTTGTTCAAGAAACGCAAACACAACATGGGGGCATTTTTACAAGCGCAATTAGCAGTGAAACTCAGTTTTGCAGCATGCGTTGTGAAAAGAGTTGGTCTTATTTAACTGCTTGACTGGATCGGTCCTGTTTGGTTTGACAGATAAGAGGGGGGGGGGGGGACATCTCAACAACGGGCAAACCAGAGGCTTAACGTTGAGTAAATCAGCCTTTTGTCTTGTTCAGTTCCAATCAAAGGATAACCGAGAATGTTTGTTTGACAACAGCATTTACAATTCATTGTTCAGAAGCCCAGAGCCTCCCAAACAAAGACAGATAGGCTTTAAACAAGTCATTTAATTAGCACCGAATCCCCAGCTTTGGCTGCGGCAACCAATTATACATTCCTGAGGCATGTGCAGGTCCTATTTCACAGCAGCACAAGGCAGATCCTCTCCAGCCCTGTCTCTTACAGTACATCTCTCCCCTTCCATTTAAGAGAAAGTAAATAGCCCAGACAGACAGCTTCATTAGCCAGCGTCTGAAGAGCGCAGGGCCGATTGTCGCTTAAATAGTGCGCTTTTACTGCAGGCCCAGCCGGCGACCTCCGATCAATTACAGCTGACATTATTGTTTGTCGGGAGCTTTTTTCCTGGACAGAGAGAGTAAAAAGAAGAAGGAAAAAAACGAGATCAGGCCTGAGCTTTGGCTGGAAATGTAATCTTCCCCTCTCTCTTTGGTTCTTTCTCTCCACAAACAATAAATCATTCAGTTGAAGAGATAATAAAGTGCCAAGTAGGAGCTAGTATAATTTTTGTCAGGGGAAATCTGTCCACAACAGAGTTAAGGTTAAGGGGCTGCTTACTTTCTCATACCACTTTCAATGACAATGGCTTTAGCTTCGTCCATTTTTCTCTCTCTCCTTATTTCCCTCGGCAGGATTAGATGACCAGGAAGACGGAGGTTTTGTTTTTTGATGAAGATTAACTGCAGCTCAAATCAGTGCAAGATATTAATATTTTACATCAAAATAAATGACTGCTTTCTATTTTTAATAGTTTTAAAACATTCCATCTTTTTTGTCGTCATAATTCTTTTAAGTAACTGAAATTCCCCCCCCCCCCCCCAAAAAAAAAAGCTTGATGTAACAGCTTTTTAATCACGCCGTTACCAAGGGCTGTTTTAATTCATTCAATTCATCCTTTGCGATTCAGATCTCTACCTATCCATGCGTGAACCTCGCAAGCACGACACGACATAATAGCTGAGCTGTTTATATTGGCATTAGGCGATTTGTAGTTTTAATGATGGTAAATAGGAGTTCACCCTTGTGGGTCCCTCAGGCTTACTCCAGGTAAATTACTTCAAATGTATTGTTTATGCCCTTCAGGAGAGACGAAGGGAGCGTTGGGGGAGGAGGGGGTGTTCAGGCCTGAACTTCTGCATTCGAGACAAACAGAAACTGACAGATATGTTTCTAGCAGTTTGCTCGTTGGAGTATAGGCACAGTTCCCACAAGATTGATGAGTCTAAATAATGCTACTTGATTCTATTTTTAAAAGAAGATGAAAATAAAAATTTTACTCTTTATTAATGCCAAATAAAAAAGGTGTTTTTGGGCAGAGTATAGTCCAACTAACAAGACAGGAACTGCGTGTGAATAACACTTAGCTGCAGTGCAACAAAAGAATCCCAGATTGCTTAAATAAATGAATGTCCTTCTCACCTGGCTCCTTTCAGTTACAGACAAAAAGGTTTGGTGGACCCTTGTCGGTCCGTGGCACATTCCCTTACTGTGACTCTGAATGGGTCTTTATGGGAGAAACATTGCTTTGGGACAGGGGAGTGACATGAAAGGGGCTGGACGAGCACTGAAAGCGAGACTAATACTCCTTCACAGTGAACAGAAGTCCAGTGTTCTTGAGCCAAGCTGTCAGTCAAGACATTCATGGAGCATCGAGTACAAGAAATAACAAAGAGATAAGACGGGGAATGTTATTGCAGCAACAGAGACGAGTCTTGTGTTATTTTCGGTGACTTTTCACCTCCTTTGTCACTCATTCCCGATATGGTGTAAATCTGTCTGTGTTTGATTGAATGGGTGTTACATGTCTACCTCAAAGGCAGAACAAGTCTCTTCACTCCGGCTCTTGAGTGGCCTCGAAAGCCTTAGGTAGCCTAGACCTTACCTAGTTGTCCTCCTACAGTAAGTACCCCCGCAATCAGGCCCTCTGTGGTGTTTTTTAATTGAGCTTAGCCTGCCGAGTGGTAATTGATTCAGTCTGAGCTTGAGCGGAGGCGCTGATACAAGGTGTTGCCCGGCTTCCGCCTTGCTTTAATCTCCCCCCTGCTTTATATTGTTTGGGAATACTCGCTACTGAGAAAACTGCATGCTATCTTTCTTATGGAAATCAATGCTTCTTTGGGAAGGAGGTGGGATGACAGCAAGGAGTACTTCTCATGTCCTTTCATTTCCAACCAGTGTCCTTCTCTTTAGAGGCTCTGCCATGCAGATCTCCTTGCCCTTTGGCTACTGATGTTTGGCAAGAAAAGAGGAGTGGAGTTGTTTTGTGAATAGTAGTGTGCCATCTCTTTTTTTTACTCCCTCTTTTTCTTTTATTCATTTTTTTTCTTCTTTTTTTTCTTTTTTTTTTTTTTTTTTTTACCTTGAATCAGGCTGCCAAGAAAGAGAAGGGAAGAAAAAAGTGAAATAAAAAAATCAACACCGATGCTCAATCAGATCCAGTAGCATCTATGAGGGTTTCTTGAAAGCATTTGTGAAAAGGCATCTGAGTAGCGGAGGAACGAGACCAAAATGTTTCCAGTCACTTTTGATCCTGCCAGTTCAAAGTCCCCACAGAGCGTAGGGGTGGGGGGGAAGGGGTGAAATGGTTGCGGAGGGAGGTACAGACACCTAGCTTTGACCTTCTGTCTGCGCTCATGTCCTTTGAAAGTTGCCTTGTTTTCATTAAGGCATTCATAAGCATGGCGCAGGGCCACTGTTTGACTAGCTGCTACATACACACCCCTCAATGGCATCTTTATTGGACATTCTTTACATTTCCAGCCTGCTAATGTCTTCAGTTTTTCCAATTAGTCCACCATTGCCAGGCAGCAATTGAATAATTTAGAATATTTGTAAGATATCTCTTATGCTGAAATGGAATAATTTGTGCACATTTAAATAGAAAAGGGAACTCCTTTTCATAATGAGGCCTAAACTCTCCAGTCTCAGTCTTCTTTGGCTTTCTCTGCTCTTGATTATGAGCTGCTATAATTAGCCCAAAGTCATTGCCACACTGTAGTCTAACAATACTTGTTTGTCATTAGCACATTTAACTAGTCATTTGGGTAATGGCTTCCAAGATTGGCCTTGTTTTCAATTGAATATTTTTTTCTGTGTAAATATTGAGACAATTATCTATAATGTGCCATTTTTTATTCATTGTAGGATTATTGATGTATATTTATTGCAGATGGCTGTTTATATAAGTATCAGCCAAGTTCCCTTTATTGTTATTGCAGTGATATATATTATTAACATGTGCATTAAAATATTCATGCTTATAATGTTAACATGGAAAGCTATCCAATTAGCTTTAATTAATCTATTCTTTTTAGAAAGCAGTCTTACAGCACTATATAAAGAGCATGCCAGTGTTTTGCCTTACTGGCTGATGCATTTAACACCAGCAGGGTTTGAGTTTTCTGCCAGAGCCTCACAAGTTTCCCCTGTGAGGATCTCACTCCATATACGCATCATTGAATAACCAACAACCTCCTCATGTGTCTCAGGCCTGGAACTCCCCTTCATGATGATGCCACACCCCCTGATCCCAGTCAGCCTTCCCCCAGCCTCTGTCACCATGGCAATGAGCCAGATGAACCACCTCAGCACCATCGCAAACATGGCCGCTGCAGCACAGGGTCAGAGTCTGCCCTCCAGAATGGTCACCTCTGTTATAAAGGTAAATTTTAACTCTAAACGTTCCTCCTTCATCTTCAGTTTGTATCAGATGTTTATTTTGGGTGTTTTGTGTTTGTGGCTGATGGGGTTGCAGGAACGTGTGCCGGACAGTCCCTCCCCTGCTCCCTCCTTAGAAGACCACAGGAGGCCAGGCAGTCACCTGTCGTCCCACCGCAGCAGCAGCGTGTCTAGCTCCCCGGCCCACACAGAAAGCTCCTCAGACAGGATACGTAAGCTGTTCTGTGTTTTTATTGCAAACACACGGAAAAAAGATGAAAAAAGTTAAATGAGCTGTGCAGACAACAATGAGAAGAGAAACTATGCATGGTGTTGCTGTCTTTCTTGCAGCAGCACACCACAACGGCCTGTCGATGAACCAGGTCCTGCTAGGCCTGTCCCCCAACATCGCGCCTGGTCCTAAAGAGGGAGACCTGGCCCACGACATGAGCCATGAAGCAAAGAGGATGCACGCTGACAAAGGTGAGTCAAAATGTGATAGAACTCAAACATTAATAGCAGACTTTACATAAAAGTGACTGAAATAAGATTCCTTACATGTTAAAGATCTCTACACAGGTGAAAAAGGAAGAGAAATCAATACCAACAACAGGGCTGACATAAAGAGCTAATTTACCAAAACAGCAGATAAGAACCCACATTTGTTTAATGTCCTATTAGAAGTGAAATATTTAAATTAAATTATTTAGATTTTTTTTAACATCTAGTTTAACAAAATCCAACAACTTCTGGGGTTGAAAAAATAAAGCAAAGTTCCAAAAGCTGAAGTTCCTCTAACAGCCACTAGGGGCTTCACTCAGGTCAAGATAGTTCTCAGAGCTAAAATGTTCAATTTTACAGCAGAAGTGAACAGGACATGAGCCTGATAAAGACTATGTTAGTCAGATTTTTTAAATTATTAACTGATCGGCTGTAAATTTTATTGTACACCCATCTCATTTTACTTAAAACAAATAGCAAACTGGTTAAAACAGTTGTACTGTAAACACCAAATGCAGTGGTTGCCCCATCTGTGTTTTACATGTGTTCTGTGACTACACATCATGAGGCTTTCTTTGGCAAAAAAAAATATATATATATTTTTCATAATACAGGTTTTAGGTCTTGAATACAACAGAATAATAAATGTTGAGCTTTTTTTTAAATACATTTTCTTTACTAATAGTTAATAGAAAAATAGTTAATGAATAACAATAATCTAAGGGACTCAATGTCAATCTACATTTTGTGCAAAGATCATATATACACAGTAAAAAAGATTATTCAATATAACATATTGAAGTTGTTCAATGCAACTGGTTGGAAAAACACTGAATAATAAATGACTATCAACATTGGAAATTACATTTGAGACGTCTGTTTCCATGTTAAATTTGAGATCATTCAATAATTTGCTCAGAAAGTTAGTTTTCTTCTTTTATTATAGTAAATGAAAAAGTAGCATTTATTTTAGAGACTGCATATTAAAGTTTAAACAAAGATCTTGTGTGATCTGTTGGTGTTTCATGAGTATCTGATGAGGATGATTCTCATATTGAATCTCAAAACTGCAACACCCAAACCTGTAAAATCTGTAAAATTGATCAAATTATGGCCATTTTTGTTCCTGCTAAGGTGGAAGCTGTCTTGATTTTGGATGATTCTAGAAGTTAATCAGTTGTAGATGAACATCTACTGATTACATTATGAGAAATTCATTAAAATCTATCAAGGGGTTTACTAAATATTATGCTAACAGACTGAAAAGCAAACAATCACTCATCATCTAAGAGCATTAAAAACAGATGCCTAGGATTAAAATGTAATACTAAGCTTTGTTTGCTAACATCTCTCTGAACCTTGAAGAAGAAAGTTCTTGGAAATGTTTCATCAAAATCTCGCTGTCAGCTGCTTTGGTTCAATTAATTGTTTGTGCTATTTTATCAATAGCCGTTGTTATTTAAAAAAAAAAAAACAATCAGAACAACGATATCCAGTCAGAAATCATTGAGGATTAAATACAAACACAAAGCAAATAATAGATTTTTGTATTCTCTGTTGGTCTATGTGTGATGCAGGGCTGAGGCTGATAATGATATGAACCCACCATGGAAATCGTTAGGCTGCACGTTCCCTGATGGCCACGAACATGTGAAGATCAGTGTTAGACCTTCACACGCAGGGTGCGAAGCAGTGAATAGTAATAATTAGCAGGATCATGAGCTAAATTTCTGGGTCACAAACGGTCTAACTGTGCATGTGTGCCACAACGGGAGTGTGTTCAAGTGTGCAAAGCTTCACACAAACAGATAGCAGATTTAAAATCAACTGAATGTTTCCTCAAATCTCAGCTGAAGTGCCTCCTCCATGCTTAGATAATCAGCTCTAATTTCTTTGCAAACATTACAACAATATGAAATAAAAAGACACAGCGATCCCTGGGCAGTTCGAACTGGTTGACCTAAGTGCGACTACCGGCGAACGCATGCTGTATTATCTTTGAGATTGTCAATTCCCAATATGTCATCGGACTTGATTAGGATTCTGAGCTCTCCAGAGTGCGCGCCAGAGGTCTCTGGCTGTGGAAAACATTTTTATAAAATAACCCATTAATGCAGAGGAGTGCAACTAAATTAGTTACCAATTTGCTGAGCATGAATTAATGAAGAGAGCTTCTCCCAGCTCCAACAGTTGTAATTTTCATAATAACCCCAGACCTTTATTTGGCAGGTTGTTTAGTTTTTTCGTTTGAAGGTTTTCATTAGTCTAATGAGGACTGTGCAAGGGCGAGCAGTCAGCACAATTTACATGAGGAAGCTATCATAATAAATGAGGCAATTTGAATAACATGCACAGGTTTATGCAGCAAGATAAGAGAGATTGTTGCTGCAAAGATACAGAGGTAACCAATACATTAGAACAAACTAATAACCAAAGTAATTCCAATAAAAGCTTTAAGTGAAGGGAATAAAATTAATGATAGAAATATTGAACTGTAATGATATGATACACGATGCATTAGATTAATAAAACACGCGCGTCGCCATTGTTAAAGTGGGAAAAGGGCCTCGCCACGCACCACGTTGTTTATGGTGAGCTTTTTAATTAGGCTTGTTCGTCGCATCAGTTTGTTTAGATAAATGAGATAACATTCTGGTGGTTTAATGATATCTCTCCACTTGTTTGATCTTTATGATCCTGGCAGAGCATTAAATTAATCTCTTGCAATGCACTCTTGGAAGCAGGCTCGGTGGGTGCGGAGGAAGGATGCAGCGTCCTGGCTCGTACGGAGACCATTTAAATAGCCAGACACCTCCGAGATAGACGCTATAATGTCTCATCACTCACGTCGCATGAATGTGTCTCTTCTTTTTTTTTTATGTCGGTTCTCGTGATGAAAGAGAAAGGCTGTTTGTTGTCATTTTAAAAAGAAACAGTTTTCAAACTTGTCACCCAGTGCAGGATGAACAGATGGTGTTTTCCTTGTCCTTTATTGGAGTGGGACTTTTATTTGAACTTTGGTGGCATTTTTTTTGTTTTTGTTTGGTTTTTGTCCAAATTTTACCAAATTTAAAATGAAAGTAAGCTCAGTCGTTTTTGTGTGGGGACTGTACAACTCAAAGTTGCCTCACGTGCGACTAATTGAACTGCAGAAAGTCCAGCGGTGACTTCCCAAACCTCTGTCTCATGAAACAGCAGGTAGCTGACAAACTGAGGGAGGAATTAAGAACAGTTCGGAAGCCCTTGGCAGTAAACTCACTTTGGACATCAAACATTGGGATATTACTTTATTTCCTCGGGGTAAAAAAAACGGGTGTTTGAAACACAAGCCATATGCACTCTGCGTATGCCAAAGTTCAAGAGGTGTCCTCACACACACACAAAAAAAAGCCATTCACTAAGATGAAAGCAGCGCAGTTTGTTTTACAACGAGCTAAAAGGCCTGACAGGACAGTCAGAGGCAACTACAGTATGAGCTGATTCCATAAACCATATTTTAAAAGCAGATGAATCATGGGTAATGTGATATCGGCCCTTCCCTGGTAAATGTTAGATTTACTTGTTGACACAACAAGAGATGCTTTTATAGCATACTCCAAAGCACAAATGGAAAGCTGTGGGGTATTATGTCACCTAGAGGTGCATCTTTTCATACCTACTATCAACTGAGCACCCTCTGACGTGTGGTACCGCTGGTGGACGAAGATCGTTTTCTTTGCCAGGAAGCTGCCTGTAGATGCCCAGCTGATGCACTTACTGCAGTCCCAGTGCACGGTTTGAATGATGAGCTTTGAGCATATAAACCTGTGGACACTGATGGGCTCATATGGTGGTGATGGTGGTGGGGGGCGGGGTGTACATAGTTTAAAAGAAAAGGATGAAAAAGAAAAAAAAGTGAACAGTAGTAGTGTCCTGATGCATGCTCAATAATCCAGGTAGAAAAATCTAAAAAAGTTAAGTCAAGTCCTCTGGACATTCTTTTTTGTTTGTTTGTTTGTTTTGTTTTGGGCTGCTGTGGCTGAGTGGTTAGAGCAGTCGTCCTCCAATGCGAGAGTTGGGGGTTCGAATCCACCAGCAGTCACAAATTGAAGTGTCCCTGGGCAAAACACTGAACCCCTCATAGCCTCTGATGTGTGCCCCATCAGTGTATGAATGTGATCTAAATTACTGATTAGTCTCTTTAGAATGATTTGTTCAATTAGCTTTGTAGAGATCTAGTAGAGTGCTGTATGAATGGGTAAATGAGGACACAGATTGTAGTGTAAAGAGCTTTGAGTATCTTGAAATAAGATAGAAAGGCGCTGTATAAGTACAGTCCATTTGTTTTTTGAAAGTCCAGAGGACCTGACTTAACTTTCTTAGATCCAGTAGTAGTAGTTTACCCTAATTTCTGGACTATTGAGCGCACCTAAATTTAAGCCACACCCACTCAATTTAAAAAGAAAAAAATGTGTGTACATATATAGGCCGCACTTGTCTAGAAGCCACAGGTGTCCACATTCTAACATGAGATATTTACACAGAAAGATTTTTTAAAACTTAATTAAATATGTACCTTGACATACACAAATACATGCAGTAAATGTTTAATTTTCAGAACAGTTTCTGTAACAAGGCTGGTTAAAAAAAAAAAAAAAAAAACATTGGCCCTGTTTGATAATTTCATTGGTCATATTTAAAAAAAAAAACTTTATTTATACATGTAGTCTCAGTAGCTATGTTTACATGGCCATAAGTAATCGGATCAAACGGCCGTTCGGAATAAAAACGCATCATGTAAACTCCCCGTTCGGGTTTTTTTTTGTTTATTCAGCGCGATCCGAAATAATTTGTGATCAAAATGAAACGGGTGGTTTACGCCGATTCATAACCCGAACGGTGCGCATGTAAAGATGTAAATGTAATCTGTTAATTTTCTACCGATCGTGACAAACTGACCTGACTGCGCCTATGACCTATGTCATTTCCGCCTGGCTAATGCT